TCTGAATGACGAGAGAACGCACAGATCGGTGGGTTCGCATCGGCATATAGTTACACACAGAAACTGGGAGAGTGACTTCCGTGGGCGGAGAGTGACTTTCGCGGCAGTCTTTTGGTAAACTTGCTACATACTTTTCAGCCCAAAAGTGTCACGTCCCCCGACTACAGCGGACTCTGCGACCCTGTGCAAGAGGAGAGATTCTGCACATTATTGAACCAGAGACTGAGTTTTCAAGTAGAGGACTCAAAAACACGATAATCGCCAAACAACTCAAAAAAATCATACCGATTCCATGTTCCCAAACCATCTTTTGTACGTTGATACATGGACAGGAATCCACGATTGATCGTATTGCTCTTCTCTGTGGCATGCCTGAAATTCAAGTGGTTTATGTTGCTTAGGAGCCTTCAGAGCATCTGGTAACTTCTTCAAGACTTTTATGCAGAAAACCACACACTTCTTCATCTTAATAGCAACATGTCCTTCCAATGGTGCCAATCACCTCCTGCAACGCCAGCTTTCGACCATGTGTATTAATGTCGATGGTCAATCTGCCGACCAGCTGGAAGGCGGGTTCCGTGAGGGCAGATGGTCCGCCAAGTGACGTCTTCATGGTCGATGCGACCTTCGAGCGTTGCTGAAAAATCACTTGTTTGAGGGAAGAAATGAACGAATAGATAATACAAGAACGAATAGATAATGCAGGATGGAAGAGAAGAGTAGGAAAAAATACAAAAAAAAAATTGAAACCACTGAAGGTACAAGCGGACATGAAAGTTCAAAAGTATAGATCAAGACTGAAGTAAATATATAGATGATTTACTGAAGACGGGTGGATATCAAACGAAGGCAGACTATAGTCAAGTTAGGGCTTTTCTGTTACTCACTGTCGACCACTGATGGTCCCTACCCCGCTTAGAACCCGACAGCGAGAAATCTGTAGAACGAAGAACTCATGTAGAGAGCAACGCACATTCAGTCACGGGGAGTGAGGGAGCGGGAGGGGGCAAACACAATAAATCCGTAACTAGTGCTCATCATTTAGCTTGTAAGTGCCCATACACAGGGCACGTCGTATGCTGTGGATCCCTGACGAATAGAGGGGAGGGGTCGCATTTGCTAGCTGGAGGGGAAGGAACTGCTCTCAAGGGAAACCTTTTCGCTTGCTCACTTTTCTCGGCTGTTCCAGTCTCATATGCGCTATAGCCCCCTCCCCCACGTCCTGCCTGCTCGGCGGCAGTTTTTTGTAGAAAAGGAGAAATATGCAGAAAAGAAACTCCGGAAAAGTGGTAAGAAGGTGGGAAAATCAGAAAGATGGTCGGTTAAATGATTAAATGGGGATAGGGAAGGGGACAGGGTCGTACCAGAGAAAGGAACTCTGACGAGTGGGCGTATTTTGCAAAAATTTTTGCAGCGGCAGAACGTGCTCTACCCATACAAACCAGAACATTCATGAAAGGACTTCCGACAACTTACGAAAGGAAATTCAATAAAGAAATAAAAAATAAAACAGCTTACAGAGCCTCTGAGCTTTTCGATAATCTGCAAAAGTCACTTATTTCAACCTTGCTTGCAAACCAAAAAAGTCCCTACTAGGTTTGTTAATTACAAAACGAAGTACACCTTCAGCTATAAAAGAAGCACGTACCTTCTTACTTAATGTTCCAGTGAGTCGATATTTAACTTCATGGGAGATGTGCTCTCTTTTCGTTCTCTGAAATGAAAATGACTATTTTGTTATTGCCAACAGAGGAAACTACGCGTCTTCAATAGAGAAAAAAAAGACTGCCATAATCACAAAGCGAGGAAGATAAAGGTTAAGTTCAAGAAAAAGAAACTGTTAATAAAGTAAGCATAAAAAGATACTTACCAGACCAAAAATTTCAAGGGCGCACACAAAGTCCGGAGGTAAATCCTTTAGCGAAAGATAGTAGTTGAACTCGAGTACACCCTGAAAGGGCTCAAGATTAGAAATGCTCTTAAAATTTGATTTTTAAGACACCCTGCCCGATGACCAAACACTAGGATCCCTTCCGCACATAGGTCATCCGGGATCACTTTCCTTTCGAAAGTGCGTGGCGAAGAAGTTAGAGGTATGTGATAACCCCCGTTTTTCGCAGGCCATCCAATATGTCAGAGGGCCACATGATATTTACTGCTTGACTATGCCCTCTCACTGAGACAATATTCCATAAACTTGATTGAAGCTGATGAGACTACTGTCGAGGTAATATTAGATTCCATATCATGAAATCAGCTAAAGGTCAGCAAACTCAGTCCAGCTTACGTAATCCTGTCCGAGTTCCTTTCCGTAAAATCTCGCACTGTTGCTACGTTTGATGTGTTCTTTGGTGCCGACGAGGTTGCTAGGTGGTACCTTTTATTAATGGTTTGACGTTTCGGCTAGGTTTTCTTTATCAAGTGTCCAGTCGACCACTGCAGGAACGGAAGCAGCGGCTCAGTTAGTTGTTAGTACAATAAGAGTGTGAGTGTTAGTATCTCATTGTCCTAACAACTAGCGCGACAGCTTCCATTCCTCCAGTGATCAACTGGGCACTTGATGAAGAAAATCTAGCCGAAACACCATACCATTAATAAAAAGTACCAGCTAGCAACCTCGCTGGCACCAAAGAATGCATCGAACGGAGCAACAATGCCTAGGTTTTTCGAAGAGAGAAGCTGCACAGTAGAACGTAAGCTTTAGTAAGGTAGTTGACTCATAGTTGACCCAAGATTTAATCTGCTATCTCTAAGTCTCACCAGGTTAGACCAAACCTATTAAATAGTCTCAATGAGAGGGCATATTCAAGCAGCTCACATCCCGTAGTCGTATGGCGTGACTAGCGAGAGAACACGTAAGAAATATCAAGGTATCGCGAGCCTCCAGCTTCACTGCCACTATCGCGAGCCCCCAGCTTAACTGCCACGACTTCCAAAAGGCAAAAACTGGTCCCATTTTTCCGGTGCTGCAGATCTGCTCATCTTGTGCACAGGCACGATAAACCTCCCACGTCATCGAACCATGAGTATTCGATAACAAAAGGCGAAAAGAGAACCCCAGTAGAACTCTGAACAGAAAAAAACCTTCCCCACCTTCTTTCTCAGACCTTCATCACTTGTCACCAGAGAGGTATGTTGAACTTCGCAACCGTACCGAAGCAGAACAATAAAATAGTATATGTCATCTAAAAACGATAAATAAGTAAATGAAACACTCGATCAAAGCAGTGAATGAGGAAATAACTTGCTTCGGCTAGAAGTATAGTTGAGCTGTGAGTTGACAAAGTTCTGATCGAGAAAAACGTTGATGCTGGTAATCGTCAGCGTTCCACGAGGACCTGGACCTCTATAAACAGAAAATGACTCGTTCTTTTGTCGAACATCCAGTCGTGTTCCCTGCGGATGCAGGGGAGCGTCAGGGGGACTGCGTCTGTGGTACCTTCTGACGCTTTTCCTGCAACCTGGCGCCAGCCTGTTTTCCACCGAATGTGGTCGCTTATCAGCTTCCACACCTGGTGGAGAACTGGCTAGTGTAGCGTCAAATTCAGCCTCACTGGCAAGCCCTGGCATTCGCAGAGAATAAGACTGCTTGCATACTAATGCACAAACCCCTTCGGTAATCCACGATTTAGCCGATCGATCTCGAATAGCAAGGCACGTCGAGTTTCAGTCGCAATTAGGAGGGCACGTTGAGCATCAACCTAAGCAATCCATAATCAGTAGGAGCAGTTGTAGCACACGTTCGCTGTCTTATAAGAGTTAGGAGTTAACGCGTCAAGTAACAACTTTATGGTGAAGAAATGTGTATTGCTAATGACGTCACAAGACACGTCGTTCACGTATCGTGTGACGTCAATAGCACATCATCCCTCAACAGGTAACGCACAGGACTGCGTACCCATGCTACATCAGCGCCAATAAATAAAAACGTGAAGGAAAATTTGTCATCAAGATGACAGCTAAAGTGAAAAAAGAAGGTGAGTTTATGATTTCAAATCCTGGCTCACCTCTTCACGACTTCCTCGGAACTCAGTCTGCTCTTTACAGTACCGCAAAGCGTGCATAGCCTGAGCTATCCGCTGTTGTTGTATGCCCACTTCACGTTCCATCGCAGCCTAATATGAACGAATTGGCAGAACTCAACTCACCCCTGATTTAATGTTGCTTACCTTTCTCTCCTGCCTAGCAGCATCATCCTCGTCAGTATCTTCGTGTATGGCGCCTCCTATTACTGTCTGGATCGGAGCAGTTGCAACCTCTGTTGTTAAGTCGATTTTCTCTATACCAGTGTCAGCACTACGCATTTCTCGTATACGTTTACGGTAAAACGAAACCGTGTAGGGAAGCGACGAACCTGAAGAAATCTGGGCATTTTTGCTGCAATTTTCAGGTTTTTCATAAAAGAGCAGTAAGTCGGATAGAAACTGACCGTCGCGTTCTCGCTTGGGAGAATCTCTCTCTTCATGCGCCGTAGTGAACGTATGTTCCTCATGAGGAGAGTCGTATACTTCAGGCGGTACCGGCAACGATTTTTGCTGTTTCTTCATGGGCGAGAAGTCCTCCTAGATTAAATGCAATGGAAACCAAAAAATAAACTACTTTCGCAAGTCCTGTGGAAGATCCGAGACCGATCAATCCGCAGTCTGAGAAAAGTTCTACACAGATAGCTCCGCCCACTATAGGTAACTCCGCCCACTAGTGGCTGAATTGCCCTTATTCAGCAGACCAGGAAGTTGCTCGTTCTTGGAATAAACAAACAAATCGCTTCGCAAACCACCGATTAGCCAGGAAGTGGCTAGAAACCCTTGGGCAGGAACACTGACTGTATCTCAAGTCTTGTCTCTGATTGAAACCCCGGGCGACGATCTCTGCTTTCTTCATATCTGCCAGACGACGCCCTTCGATGGAATAATCCGAAGTACGGACGTTCTGATCCTTTCTTCCCTTGCGGAGACCTGCACCGTCTCGAAACTTTCGACTTGCAAGCTACCCGACCTAGCGCCTCGTTTTTAACGTTTCCAACGTCATGTTGAGAATACTACTGACTAGCCTGGCGAAGGGAATTCAACTGCCAGGAGATCCCACCGCTAGAGAAGCCGCTCGGTTGGATAGCTTGCGAACTCAAGGCTTCGAGCTATTTCAGCGCATCGAAGAAAGAAGAAAAGGTGGACAAGCAGATGAAATGGAAAAAGCATGGCGAACAGAAGTTCCCCCGAAAAGCCCAACCGGCAGAAACAAAGAAAACAAATGTTGACTGCACTTGTTTGTCTGGTCATCCAAGGTCATCTAGCGTGGAAAGCTCATCGAGCCCGATGCGTTCAAAAACAATAAGTAAACGGAACAAATGACACATCGACTGGACATACCTCTTCAGCATACGGTGCCACACCACCATATTCACACTTCATCGGTGTCGTGTCGCCAGCTCCCTTGTTCGGCGTGTTTTCCATAAATTCGAAAGCCTGATCGATTAAATGTGATACGCTATGACTAACGTTCACTTCATCCGTTGATTCCTAAACTTTTTTGAGCAGTTGTTTGCGAAGTTTAGGGGGATAGCCTTAGTCTAGTGCCATGTGTCAGGCTGCCCGTTGAACAGACGGCTGTTATTCCGGAAATCGGAAAAAAGCCATAGCGAACAAATCGCCACGTAATTCTTTGACTTCGAAAGTCTCACAAGGTCAAATTCCCATTATCGTCAGCCAAGTGGAAAACGCCGTTTTCCGAAAACTCATAGGTCAGAAATCTCTCCCAGGTTCTATTAGATAGGGATCCCTCGGTATGGCTCTGTGCCAAACCCACCAGAAGGGGAAGATGTCACGATAAAACCGCCGACCTATTGATTCTCTGTTTTTAGAGCAGGACGCTACCCCTCCCTCACCCCTACAGAAGAACTCTCAAACACTAACGAGGGACAGTAATCTGAAGATACTAAACCTTCAATCTACGAAGTGACCTTGATTGAGCCTAATACGAAATTGTAGCCTAAGATCATCATACAACAAATTACGACGAACCTCATCATCCCCAAACAGATTGGCTTCCTCTGGTGTGTCGGGACGCTCCAAACGCATTGGCGACTTGGGCGAACGCCCCGGTGATTTTCGCTGCGGCATCTTGATTGCAGGTGATTTATATGGAGAGTAGGCGGTTTTAACAACAGACTTTTTCTAAAAAGAAACGGTTAACCGGAAACTTGAGAAAGAAAGACATAATGTTTCAAAAATACCTTGAAGTCGCCTTGGGCGTCTTCATCAGACTCATCCATATAGCGTGGACTCTTTGACTTTGGCGAACACAATGAAGAGCGCTAAACACAAACAAGCATATATTCAACCTAAACAAACCAATGGTCCAAAAGAACCTTATTAGCCTCCTGGACGCTTTTCTCAATTTTCTTCGTTAGATAGGGCTGTGGATCCCTTGGTTTGTTGTCGAATCTTCGTGGAATCGCTCTATCTCGCATACGAATCGCAGCTTTCAGGATATCATCCTCAGTTTCATCCGGGTGTAATGGGGTCCCCGTCAGCGAAGAGAACTAAACAGCATTACCAATAGTTGTTTCCATGTAAAAAGTGACAGTGAGCCCTCAAACATACCTCCCATCGTGACTTTAACGATTTCAGATTGCTCGAACATACTTCAGGTTGAACTGGTACACCTGGCGTGCTACCTATCACAACAGGAGTGTTATGACTGCCACGCCATTGCGTCTGCACCCGCGGTGTAGTTGGCGTGATAGGAGGAACTGAAGCCGATGCTGGCGCAGTGACAGGCTTTGGAGTGGGTATCTACAAAAATAAGAATATTTAGCAACGAATTGAAGTTTTCAAGCTGCTAACAAACTTTTGCAGAGGTAGTTTTGAGCCGCTCCTCGAGCTGTTGTGCGATTCGCTTCGCTGGGGCTGCTTCCATAACTGCAGAGCGGATAGGTGACACCTCCTTTGTCGCGGCATCTTCAGTCTGTTCAGCTACGCGCTAAAAGACAAAATCAAGAGGGAATTTCTTGAGGAAAGGTGTCCATGGCTCTTATTACTACTACTTCAATCTGTATGAACAAGACCTCTCAACTGCAAAAGAAAAGCGCTTCATCGATGGCAGCATTAAAAGCAACTCCTATGCTCACCTTAAGGAAAACTCCTCAAAAAAACCAAACTGCTAAACGCTTTGTGAACGTGCTCACGAAGGGAAATGGGTGCTTTCGGCGCTAGATCCTACCGAACCCGTCCGATATTCTGCTTGGTTGTTCAATATCCTGCATATGGCAGCTGCGGAAGTGGAGCTGCCACTTTTCTAAAGAAAGCTGACGAACTCCACTCTTGTAGTAGGGCAGGAATCGAGACGAACAAGGAAGGATATCGGACGAGATAGGCAGATTATGGGGCTCGGTATCGCCGCTCATTTCTCCTTTAAAGCAGCATTCAGACTTCGCGACGGCAGCGCTTCGATCGTGCGTTTGACGCGATCGATGCGATAGAAAGGATGTGCATTGCAAAGTCTGAACGCTGCCTAAAAGCGTAAGGACTGTTTTTTAAGCAGCTGTTTTCCATGTGTGAGAGCTACCAAACGAGTAAGGGCTCAGCAGCTCAACTAATAGAGCCAATGAAGGAAATAAGTACATGGAAAATGAAAATAGACAGCAAATATATATGACAGAAGATTTCACACGTCATATATTGAGGATTCCCAGCGAGGGAGGTGGTCCTAGTTGGTATGGGGGGGTCCCCATCCCGCTCAACGGCTCTTTTTTTCGATTCCGGAGAAAACTGGAGATTAATTCTATGAGGACCAAACTCCGAAAAAGTTCCAAAAAGTTAAGAGGATTCAGCGGCATGGCAGAAAGGAAGGGTGGTGGTCGTACCAAAGGAAAAACCCTTCGGGAGGTCGTACTTTGCGAAAAATTCCTCCTTCAAAAAGCATGGTAAATATCGGGATAATGCGAAGGAAATGAGATGACGGAAAGGGAACCTCCAAATGTGTCTGAAGAGAAAATATAGCAGAATAAGGTTGATATCAGAGCAATGTTGATTTGAAACTCAGTTCGAACCTCCTTGTGGAAGAGCGTGAAATGCATATAGCCTTCCATGATGGCGACTTCGTGGTAGGAATACTGCTTTCAGGGACGCTCGTAGCCTTTTTGACATGATCCTCCAGATCATTCACAAAATCGTTACGCTTCTCTGTCGAGCGCAGACCAATATCTGACAGAGCTGAAAAAGTCTCGTACTCTAAATGGTAGTCACACAAAATTACTTAGTTCTCTTGTAAAAATAAGAAGTCTCACTGGCGCTAGTGTAGCTGGGGGGTACGCGCTCGGAGATGCGGATGGTGGGTTTTGTGACTGGGAATGGGTTTGCCGAGGCGTCATTCCGTTCTGCAGCAGTTGTTGAAGTGAGCAAGGAAAATAGGCTGACGCCACGCAAAACGCAACCTCCCTGGATTGCCCCAGTATCCACGGCGAACAAGACTATAAGATGACTATCGCCAAATCGTCTACGCACTTCCTCTCACCTATGTAGTGATCCCTTCCTTTCAATAGGCCCACGTTCGGAAGAGCGCTGACGACCAGAATGGCGCGGTCTAATGTCCCTTTAACTATGCTAGCGCCGCCTCCATTTTATCTACTCTGGGAAACCATAAGAAGCTGGAAAATAAAGGGGAGGAACTCACAAATTTCTGTTGTCATTTGCTTCTGTACTGTAATTGTCTGCATTTCACAGTTCGGAGAAGATGTCTTGACAGGGTTCTGTAACATTTGAATATTCACGTTGAGAATAACCCACAAATATGAAAACACTTCCGAAGATCAATTAGAGACATACTGTACGATAACCTGAAATGTGCACCCCTCCCGTGTTTGCAATGTAAAGGTCTGTAGCCGGTCTGTAAGAATTTACACCACATGAAAGTAGACGCAAGAGTCAGCCTTCATTGGAAGCTGTTTTATTATGACAACTGTTGTTGAACGCTGCTATTCGCACTCCGAAAGTTATTTTGAGAATGGTAAATTACGCGAAAAGGTCTTGACCACAGCCTGACTGGAACTCGTACCTCATCGTTTCCAAGGGAGTGCGCTATCCATTACGCCACCGCGGCCCGCTCTTACGCTCTCAGCTCAGTGGCTCGTCACGTTTGACATGTGGGTGCTGTACGGCTATGGCACAAAAGCCATTGAAATGATACTGTTAGATTAGCCCCAGTGGCGTTGTGGATAGCGCACTCGCCCGGAAAGCGTGAGGTGCGGGTTCGACTCCCGCCTGGGGCACGACTTTTGCCCAGAACTCAGCATTCTTGTTATCACTTTCGTTGTGCGAACTCGGCGTCAGACAGCGGTTCTCATACTGAAACAGACCGAGCTCCGTGAGAGGGCACAGCAGAGATCGGCGGACCACATTTTCACGTAGCTTATCAAAGGCCGACCGGCGCCAGCACGCCAACAAGCAACCACAAGCCTTTCGCTTCCTTGTCACACACTTTCGGATGAGGGAAATGCCGTAGACCTGCCCACACTACACATGAAATCGGTCCAGCTTCCAGGTAATCGTACAGTGTGCATGTGAGAACAATTAGCCTCTGCGGCTGTAGACCTGCTCACACGACACATGGAATCGATCCAGCTTCCAGATAATCGTACAGTGTGCATTTGAGAACACGACTGATTCCCTCAGCCGATTTTCGGCGATATAGACCAGATACCACGTTCACACAGTAAACAAAGCACAGCAAGGACTTGACAAAACTCACAAAGTGCACTGGTGAAAACTGCGTTTGACTGCCAGTACGGACCTAAAGCCAAAGCGATAAGGTAAAGCACACATAGATACATTCACTCTGACATTAGTTAAGCGAAGCGATATATACCATCGTGACGGAAAGTTATGGTGCGTATAGGTGAATAGAACTGAGCGGTTGTTTAAAAAGTTATGGAGTAGCACCAAGATTAGAAAATCAGGGATTAGCGAACTTTTGTTGTTGTGGTCAGAACGGAGAAAACAGCTGATGCTATTTCCCTTTTCTCCGGGCAATACACTGCTAAAATGGCTCAGATGGTAGTATATGCAACAAAGTCAGTGGACCGCCTTTAGCCCATCAGCGTGAAATGCCCACCGCGACTCTGAATCGAGGAACTGGGGAGGGGGGGGGGAATGTAAGATAGTCGGAGACACCGCTAGAAGAGAAGTTTACGAAACGATTCGGAAAATCGCGATTGTCCTCGTGACAGGGTTAATCGGACTGCAGTAAATCCCTCTGAAGAATACTCCGCTTTTCCCGATTGATATATCTACTTTCCTTTCCGCGGTCTCTTCTATGCTTCCAGTTCTGCGACTCCCCCATTCTTCGTCAAGGTGCTACGAAAACGACCCTCAGCAGACACCAGTTTCCGCCACCAAACAGACAAGAAGACAAGGTTATATGGTGTGCAAGCGTGTACAAAGCTACAACACATGATAGAAGTGAGAAGCTTAAACGCACAAAAGGCTTCGGCGACATGATTGCTAACGACGACGTTGACGAACACTTTGGTGGTGTGCTTGCCTTCTGAAACCAGAAAGAAATTAGGCGCCATTCTGCTTGGGGAGGGAGGAGGGGGGAGGGGGCTTTCTGGGCTTTCGTCATTTCCCACTGTCATGTCGAGTTTGAGTAGAGACCTGTGAATCTTGTGAACATGAAGTGATACCACTCAAAGTTTGCAGATAATATTTGTCAGCTCCTGTAAACAATAGATGTCAAACCTGTCAACTCTTGTAAAACAATAAACGCGACAATGGAAAGTGATGGAAGTGCTGAGCTCTCCCCCCCCCCCCAGCCGAACTGCGCCTGAAATCACCTCAAATGTTATTAATTACTCTAAGGTCAGAAGCACAACAGAATAAGCAGCAGAAATCAGTGAAAGAAGTTGGTTAGACGGCGAATGCAGCACAAAAAAAAATACAAAACACTAGGCTGGCCGTTTTTTGAGAAACGTGTGCGCTCCATATTCGTCACTGGACATATCCACCTGCCCATCCTTGTCCTTTATAGTATCAGTGGTTGTCTGAAGCAATGCTATATGAATGGAAACACGTCTCCCTACGTATACACCTCACATCTCTTTTTCCGCCAGACATACCTTTTTCTGGAAAGTGTGCGCTCCATACTCATCGCTCGACAGATCAACCTCGCCGTCCTCGTTTTTGTGGAACATTCTCGCAGCTGGGATGGGCAGAGCATGGACACTTTCGTGCATTCCACAACCAGCCACAATACTGCTTTCATCAATGGTGTTCTTAAAGAGGAATTATGGCGATAAAATCATGTTGGTCATTAGCATAGCGGTAAAAGGCGAAGGACAGTACCAATCGCTCCTTTCCAAGGTGTTTATTTATTGATTTCCAACATCACGGGAGGAGCGATCTCTAATGGGGCTTAACGACGCCGTGTTCTGACGTGGTAAAGCTACCCCATGTTGGTTAGGGGGACAGGACTGAATATGCAGCCTTGACGTGCAAGAGCCCGAGAGAGCTGTCCCTTCCCAAGACATAGCACTCCATTTCATCAGGTAGGATGGATTGCTCGCAGCAGACGCAGGATGCTATCAAGGGGATTGGTGTTCGGCCTTAGTTCCAGCCGACAACCTACCCGCTTGCATGCCTCAACAATCGATGAAGTGGATTCTCGGACTGTTACAGTTACCGACGTTTTAGAGTACTCCTGCATCGGTCTTCACAAAATTCGGAATGCGTGGCTCGAAATTTCAGCCTTTTTCTCCGAACCAGCAAGCGCCTCTTGTCCAAAGTCAGCAATGGTCGCGAGACGCTGTGCAACGTCGCCACGCCTTATCACGTAACACTAGTATTGTTGCATCAGACTGTGACGCTATACTGACTACAGCTAATATCTAAGCAGACCAGAAATTACACTTGCACATGAGGAACTCACAAAAATCCTTCTGAAGGTGTAACCAGAATAACTAGGGATTGTGTTGAACTTCGACATTCATACGCCTTACAGAACGGAAGACCAGTCAGTAGGAAATGGTATTAAACAATGAGACGTTCAGAGTTCATGGAATTCTATGATAAGGAAGCGGATACGAAAATAACACCGAGATATCATGTACTATTGACGTTTCTTGTCTTGTAGACACTCTTTCAGAAGATAGCAGCTACCTACAGGGGTCTAATCCGTGTCCAAGGCGGAACAAACGCGAGGCCCTCTTGAAGACACGCTGTACGATTTCCCGAGAGCTGGATCTCCTCCGCGTGCTGGTGGGCACGTCGATGGCAGTATGGATGTAACCGTGCTGTGCGCGGCATTGAAGTTACAGGTCTTTGCTATTCATCCTTTCTTCGCTGGCTATTCGATACGTGATGCGGAAGCCACGGCAACTCTATACGCCACACGACCAGCTTTACATCAGAGGGTGCAAACAAGTAGCGACTATAGCTGGGCGTATGGCGCATTGCGTGTTCAATAGTAAGTGAAGACAGCATGATCAGCCAGGTATCACAAGCCTATACAGTCTTTTTCGCTGCGTATGCTGAGGCGTGTCAGGGGAGGGGGCGGGTATGACGCAATCCCTGCTTCCACGGTGGAAAACGGGTTGACGCTGCGCCGAATCCGCCCCATCCTCTGAAACGCAGCATCCGCAGAAAACAAGACTGTAGCTTCATTGCCGCGTTTGTTCAATCGAATGGCTGGGATGCTACACCTCTGCGGCTCCCGGACTGCCAATCTCGCGCTAGGAAGGATTCACCACGCATTCCCACGTATTTCCCGGCCTCTCTTCAATTTTGTTCAAGTCGTAACTGAATAATCCGGGTCAGGCCTTCTAACATCTACTTACTATGCAGAAAAATTTCAAGGATCTGGGGGCAACTATCACTACAACGAACGAGCAGGTCGGGAGGGACCTCCATGTAAAGGCCTAAATATTTGCCATTTCCGCTCCAAATGGAGCTCTTTCTGTCTTTCTGTGGGGAATTGGTGACAAAATTAGACACGGAAAAGAATACATACCACCGTTGTACACATCGATGATTCGTATTCCACCACGTGTGTGGC